GTGTGCAGCCGGACTAAGTTCGGTGTGCAGCCGGACTAAGTTCGGTGTGATTCATTTTTTACTTTTTTTTTTTTAACTTTTTTTATTAATTTTATTTTACTTACGCTACTTTTTAATTTTATTTTAAATTCTTTCATTTAATTCATTCTCGTTTCTTCTTTTTAGATTTTTTTTTTTTTTTTAAATTTAAAAAACAAAATGAAATTTTCGCCAGTTCCATCAATTTTATTTTTTAACTTTTTTACTCTTTAAAAAAGTATTTTATAGCCGTTAAACAGAAGAGCATGATTAGCAATGATTAGCATTTTTTTGTTCGCTATTATCACTTACTAAGCAAAATCATGTTGATATTTTTTAATTAATAAATAGTTGCGCGGGGAATTAGATATTTTTGGCACGTATTGTTATATTATTTTCATTTAACCAAAAATTTTTCTTATTAGTTAACGACAGTAACGCCTTTTATGTTTTAACAAAAGTAAGGCGTTGCAAGGCCTTACCCTCGTTAACCATGAGTAAAAGTTTTATTGCTAGTGTTTAGGATGACCTCGCTGCGCAAGGCCTTCCTAACTGCGAAGCCTGGAGCGGCTGCTCCACCCGCACCACTCTAAGGACGGCTCTGCTTAGCAACAAATTTCAATATCCCACACTAAAATTGTATCTAATAATCTTTTGTTAATCAAAGCAAGAAAGCGTGAACAGACGTTTAAAATAATGAAAAACATTTGAAAAAATTAAGTTCGGTATATTCTCTAATAACCACAATTTTGAAAGCACCGCTTTATATAACAAATTGTTATATAACAAACATTTGTTTGAAAGTAGCCTGCGCGCACATACCTTATGTGGGCTAAAATTATAAAAAGAGTGGTATTTTTAAAACGTGTTGCTTTTTTTTTTTTTAATGTAAACAAAATAATAATAAATATGTATAAATATTTCATAAACGTAAACAAAATATTTTAAATCAATTTTCTAACTTTTTCATAGGTTTTTTTTCTTTCAATAAATTTAATTGCGACTCAATTCTCTGATAATATAGAATAGATTTTTTTTTTTAATGTTCAAAAAGCTTTCGATAAAATCATATTTATCCAAATAACATGCTATCTGAAATAAAGATTGGTGGTCTTGGTAAACTTTGGTGGCGAAATACAGTTACTTGGTTTTCCAACTATCATTGTACTGAATCAGATCAATATGATGTCTTGCTTAAATACTGGAATAAAATGAAGTATTTTTTTTTTAACTACATTTTTTTAATTTTGATGCCCCAAGAAGTCCTTACGGTCTTATTACAGAGCACCGCGGAAGAGAATTTGAAAGGAAGTTTAACCCTCCTTCCTTACCGATGTTATTAAACTTTCTCATATGTGGCGTAGAACCACGGATGTCTAGCTTCTGAGGCAAGCGCGCAAAGCACTGCGCTACGGTTGCTCATAATATGTAAGTGTAATATATAAATAAAAAGTGTGAAGGTTGAGGTTGATTTTACACAATGTTTTGCTTTCTCTGCAAAAATTTGCTGAAACTGGTTTGCAGTAAAAATATTTAAAAACTGCGTCTTAAAGACTTTTTTAAAAATTACAAAAATCTTAAGAAAACGTAATGCTCAAGCAATTTCTAATAAATTAAAGTAACACTAAAAATGGTTTTGATTTCGTCGGTAAGTAAAATGCAATATTCAATTAATCGATAACTGGAAAAAAGCCTTAAGAAGCCGCTCTTAGTTTGAAAGCGTGTTTTTTCTTTCAGTTTTGTATTTATACAAATAATGGAGTAGGATCTAACTACAGAGCTGAACTGTATCACTACAGTGCTGAGCAACCTATTCTATACCTCTACATCTCCTCAATATTTAAACTCTCCACATAATGACTGATTTGCAGAAGTGATACTTTTTTAGCAAAACGGTAACTGGTTGCTGATTAGAAGCCAAAAAAATCCAATTACAAAAAAATTTCTAGGAAAAATAGAAGAGTGGGGTTGGGGCGGGGAGGGGGTGGGAAGAGTTTGTGAGCCTCTTAGGCAGAGCCGGGAGAATTGCGTAACCTCCATTGAGAGACGTGTCCTTAACTAATTTATAACTGCTCACCATTCTTTACGAACAGTTTATGTTCAAATAGTGTTGTCAGTGACGGATCCAGAGGAGAAGGGAGGTGGGATGCATACCCCCATCTTCCCTCCTCCCCACCTCCTCCCTACCAGAATCTGAATGTCCTAAAATATCTTTGACATGGAGGGTTTTTTTCCTTTAGGGGACGCAAATATTATACAAAATACATAAATATTTCAACATCCTTCTCCACCCCCTCCCCCTTCCACATCACCTCTACCAAAAATTTCTGGATCCGCCTCTGAGTGTCGTTAAGCGTTTGCATTGATCTCCGAATCCATTATTTGTAGCAAAAATCTATGGGGTGAATGTACCATGTTCAACTTTTAGAACTCGTTCTAAATATTCATGTTATTTTGCATTCTTGGTGTCTACGGAATATCTGTTTTGTTGGTTGTTTTTTAGAGGACTGGAATTTACTCTCGCGTTACTCTAACATCAAAAAATGCAGTTTCTTCCTTGATCCAAAAACTCTTTTGCTTTCATATCCAATCTAGCTTTGTCGCTTGTAATGGCAGTTTTGAGATAAAATTTTTCGTTTGTCAACGAAATTAAATGCGGATCCGCTTGAACATCAGTACAAACTTTAGTTAGGCAAAATGTTAAAAGATTTCTCTGATATTATCATTTCTGTTACATACAAAGCCACATTTTTGCATGACATTGCAAGTAGCTCGTCATTGAACTTTTTCTACAAGCACAGTAGAATGGTAAATTAGCAGTTTTTACCAAAATCATCTTTTTCTTTCATAAAATTTAACTAGTCAAGTATACTTGACTAGTTAAATTTTAAATCCATATATGGATTCTACGTGCAACTTGGTTATTTTCTTGGAGACAATATGTTGTTCTATGGCTTCAGTTATTAATTTACAAATTAAAAGCCCTCCCTATGTTGGATTCAGCGCCATCAACTTCCTGTTTTCTTTGATTTATTACTTACTACCAAACAACACAGGTTAAAGGTTTTCTGATAGTAACTTTTCAACCGGTGTTATGAATTCTTTAAAAGCTTCTATCGTGCGTAATAAGGATGTGAATTTAGATCTACATTCTTTAACAAAAGCTGTATCAGCAGCTTGTGGTTGTAAATTAGCGGTTTTGCAGAGATTGTTAAGTTTGTTCGCAGAGATTATTAAGTTTGTTCGCAGAGGTTATCAAGTTTGTTTGCAGAGATTATTAAGTTTGTTCGCCATTTCACCATTTATTCACTAAATCCTCGCAATACGCCTTTTTTTTGCATTTTTAAAGTGCTATTGTTTTTTTGAAAAAATTCAACAAAAAAATTAATTGATTCTTTAAATCAAAAATGTAAAAGCCGTACGCTTTTTTAAAAATTTCTTTCATGATGAAAGAAATTTTTAAAAAAGCGTACGGGTTTCACAATTTTGATTTATAAGAAGGTTTGATTTAAAGAATCAAATTTTTTTTTCAATTTTTGAATTTTGAAAAACTGAATTAAAATCTATCAACATAATTTCATCAAAAAGATGAAATTCATCTTTTAGACGAAATTATGTTGATAGATTTTAATTCAGTTTAAGATTATTCATTATAACTTATGGTGGTCATCATGGTGGTCATCATGGTCAGGTTACTTTTCATGATTTTTTTTATTTTTAAGATATTATGACAAAGTTAATAATTTTTTTTTCTTTCTGAAAAAGTTTATGCGGAATTGCAAAATTGAGAAATCTTATATTTTAGTGGAGAAAATTTGGTTTTAGGCATCTCTCTGTAGATTATATAAACTTTTATGCAATTATCAACGTCTAAGTTAACATTTAGTTTAAAATGGAAAAAGAATGGTCTTCTATACTTTATACTATTGGGTAGACTTGTGCACGTTGGTCCACTTTTTTTTTACTTAAAATTTTTTTTTGTTTATTTATATGGAAAAGGTTTGATAAGTTTCATTAACAATTTTGATTCATTAACACACTCAAAATTGCATTAAAAGTACATTTCTGATTTTCAATACATTTAACATTTTTATTGGTCACATCGCTTCCACTAACTTGACCTGTTATAAGATTAAGTTGGTCCAAAGGTAGAAATAGTTGGTCCAAAAAAAAAGTTGGTCCAAAGGTAGAAATTAACCTATAGGTGTATGATAGTAAATTGGTCTATTGGTATAGGATAGTAAATTGGTCCATAGGTATAAAATGGTGAAAACATTGTTTTTGATTAACTTATTTTTTTAGCATTATTTTTAACTTTTTTAGATTTAAATAGACAAATGAGAGGGTTTAAGTTTGTTACAATATATTTTATAGTATAAAACTCTGAACTTACAAACTGTGGTCAAACACCAGTGAGCATAAACTTACATATTGTAGTATAGTCAAATACTAGTGAGCATAAACTTACATACTGTAATATGTAAGTTTATGCTCACTGGTATTTGACAATACTCATACTGAAGTCACATACACGTTCAACAAACTATTTAAAATTTACTTTGACTCATCAAAAAAATTTCAAATATTAACCAATAAAAATGATATTTTTTTGAAAATAGGTTTGAAGTACTACCAACTTTTATCTTTTAGATTCTTTTTAGATTCTTAGCTAGTTTAAGTATTTAGAATTTAAATAAACTCGACTCAGTCTAACCTGTCCCTGCCTATTTTTTTTTTTATTTGCCTATTATATCCTTTATTTTATACTTATATTGTTGTTTATTTTTGTGACATGCGTGATAAATGTGACATTTATCAAGCATGCTGCCACAAAAGTTTTTATTTGAATAAAGTAAACAAATAAACCGATGTTTGATCCCCTCTGCAAACACACGCGAACATTTGATATCTCCTCGCACCTTCCTTGGCTCTATTATTACATGATAATTTATTCATTATTTTAGCTAACAAAATAAAAAAACTTTTAATTTTCTTTGAACATGTATAAAAATATCAGTACATTATTATAACTACATTATATTACTCTGATTATAACTACAATATATTACACAACTTAATAAGATCTCAAAAGCAAAAAACGGAACAGTGGTCTCGTTTTTTATGCATGTAGAGCCACGCTAAATGTGAATGTGGTCACGCTTGACATGGCTCGTGGCTCAAGTAAAAAAACATTTTGTTTTAAATTAATAAAATTTCGTTTGAAATATTTCAAAATCTTATATTTTAAAACATTAAAATTATTTCGGATATTCAAATATATAATTGTCGGCAAAATGATTTTTGTTTATATACTCAGTTGTTATCGGAAATCCCCAGCTGCCAATTAAATCACGTAAAATGCTAAAAGCGGTACTATAGTTGCTTCCTATCTCGTTTAGATTAAACTTTTTGGAGAGAGCTTTTTTTAGAACTTCTTGCACTACTTCGCAACCTGTATTTTTGGCTTTGCTTACTATTTCTATTAGTCTTTTTTTTAAGCTTTCCTCTCTAAAGGTGAGTGCAGAACAATTTTTTTTTCTTTCAGCTTGGACTTGTTCAAGGTCTAACTTCACTTGACAATATGTTTCGTGCAAACTTTTCCGTTTCTCAGAAACTATAGCCGTAATGTCGTTTGCTATAACCATCAAGCTCTGTGTTGAGAAACGCTCTTTAATCGCATTTTTTAAATTTACTAACTCAATTTCCTTATTATTACTGGTATTATCTTCAAATGAGTCATCTTCAATGGTTATTACTTCTTTAGTTTTATCCTTAACTAAAAAAGGATGAAAGCGATATTGGATCGAAGGTTTTGGTAATGAAGTTGCTAGGTGATTATCTACTTCTTTTTGATTAGATTGAGATACTGCAGTTTTAATTTGCGATGACGCATTGTTAAGCAATAAATGCAGCGCTCCAGAAGTAGGCATTTGATTTAAGTTATCGCGATGTCCATAACTTGCTGACAATGGTTGGTTGTTAGATTTATAACTAGTTGAAGAAACTAATGTTTCTAATTGTGAGTTTGAAGCTACACTTCGTTTAACGGCCGATTCTGCAATATAGTGTAATGTATTTTTACCATTTTGATTTGATGCTTGCAAGTTTCTTGTCAGCAAAGTTTCTAAGTTAATTGTTCGATCTGAAAACCGCGTTAAGTCGTTCCGTGTCGTATCGTTAAATAAATTGTTATTTTGCAATGTCAAATTTACATCAACTGGATACCTGTTTTGTACGCTGGAAACCCCAACATTTTGTACGTTGAGACCCATAAAGGAATCAATATTCCCAACTGTTTTAGATTGCGTGAAATTATTTAGCAAATTATTGTTTATTGGGTTGAAAAGTCTATTACTTGAATTTGATCTCATTGGTATGTTATGACTGGAAACTATATTGTTATTACAAGTATCTGATGATGTGACACGATTAACATCCAACGATATGTTATGATTTACTCCCTGCGATGCATTATTTTTAAACTGTAAAGGTAAACTGTTAACGGGACGTAATGGTTCACAATCTTTACTTATATTAGAGTTTTGAGAACTAAAAAAATCAACGATTTTAGGATAGGAATTAGTTCCTAATCTATTAACATTTAGTTGAAAATTTTGACTTGACGGTAGTCGGCTTTGATCAATATGCCGTGAATTTTGAAGGAACGTTTGACGCTGAAAAAGAAACTGATTACGAGCATTTTCAAAATTATTTTGATTGAACGGATTTCTTGTTTGAGGCATTGAAGACATTTGAGGCAGATTCATATTTACACGAGGTATATTTTGAAACATAAAAGGATTTTGTTGGTTAAAAAGATTTATGTTTTGAATATTTTGTAATAAGTGTGTGATGTTTGGAGCAGTTATTTGATTTTGAAGATTATTTGATAAATTAGTAGAATTTAATAGTTGAATATTAGTTGCTGTTTCATTCATTGTTTGTAACAGTTGCATTTGTAATAATTTTGCCTGTTGTAGTTTCAATGCTGCTGACATATCAGAAAACTGTGCAGCAGACATATCGGAAAAATGTGCGGCTGAGACATCGAGACATGAGACATCACTCTGCAAACTTTGGTTAAGTTGGTTAACTCTTAAATCATTCTGCCTATTCAATCTGGGATCACATGAAAACTGTTCTTGACTGAAATTTAAACTTTGTTGATTTGATACAGCAGAAGTATTTGAAAAAACAGTTGAACATAAAGAACTTACAGGAGGAAATAAAACAGAATTCAAAGAAGAAGAAGTGAGTGTATTGGGAAAGACACTAGGACACAAACAACTAACAGGAGCAAAGAGAATAGAATTTAAGGAAGACTGAGAGATATTTGGTAAAGTAGTTGATAATGAATTGACAATAGAATATGCGGAAGAATTTAAGGAGCAGGATGTTAAACTATTTGAGTTTGATGAAGATGAAGGATTCAACCTTAAGGAGGACAAGGGAGGGGTATTTAGGTTAATGGAACAAGTTGAAGATGAAGTTATAAAACTAACAGGAGTAAATGTTTCTGAGCTCATGGAAGATGTTAGATTATTTGAAAGAACAGTCGACAATGAAGAACTAACAGGTGAAAATACAACAGTGTTAAATGATGAACTAGCAAGTGAAAAAGTAGTAGAAGTTGAATTATAATCGCATCTATTTTCATCACTTATTTCAATTGAAGTAGTTGGTGGTCTATCGGTGCCGGTTGTGAAGTAACTGGTGGGTGTTAGTTGTGTAGCAACTAATTTTTTAACAACATTTACTTTTACTGGTGATAAACTGTCTGTTATAACAATGCAGCTGCTTTTGATAACTTCTGGAGTTGTAACTTGATCAAGTATGCCAACCTGATTTGAGTCATTAAAATTAGATGTTGAATGATTTAGTTGAAGATTTGGCATTTTAGAACGTAATTCTGAAAATTCGACTGTTGAATCTGATATTTCAAATAATTTTTCTATTAACAGTTTATCCGATTTCTTGTTAAAAACCTGATTTTCAGGTTTAAAAAGATTTATTTCATTCTCTTTTTGATCAAAACTATAATAATTGCACGAGTTTAATGGTGATTGCATCATCTTTAGCGGTGATTGCACTTCAACTTTAATCATCGGCAGAGTATCAACACTCTCAGGAGTAGAATACTTTGATAGATTTGCCTTACTACAATTATCATGAATAACTTTTGTAACTGCAGTTGGTGAAGATGAACAATGAACCGAAGAACTCGGATTAAGTTTGAAAGGAAATGATGCAACAGATGATGCCTCTTTGACAGAATTTAATTTTCTAACACAATTATGATTGTCATTTGCTTTCGAAGATGCTACACTATTTACAGCTTGATCAGTGTTTTCTTCTAAAAGCACCTGTGAATCTCTAGTTTCATTACTACCCGAATCCTCAGAATCGCTTTCTTTCCAGGATGTATCTGAATCATTGCCATCCACACTATCTGTTTTTAGTTGTGAAGAAATAACAGCCATTGCACTTACACAAGCTTTGCGCTTTAAACGCCGTGATGACTTTGCAATTGGTTCATCGTCACTTTCTTTGGCACTGTCAACTTGTGAACTGTTTCGCTTTAGTTTATGAGGACTTGAACTTAGTGTTGATGATTCTACCATTTTAGTACTTTTCCACTCTTCTAAAATATCCTGAAACACATTTTCATCACTATGAAAATTTTGTAAAGATGAAAACAAAGCATTTTCAGAATCGATTAAACCAGAGTTACAGTTTTCTGGATATCCAGGGTATGCCATATGAGAATCAAATATTGAGTCATAATCATTTTGAGAAACTTCTTCTTTAATCTCTTGACATTTCTAAAATAAAAAACCCCTTCATTTATAATAAATAGCAATAAGCAAAGAAAATTTACACAAGCTTTATTTATTACCAAATTTTTGAAAGATTTCTTAAACATTTAAAAACCCTTAAACAACATCTGATGATCAATTTATGTTGATGATGACATCTGATGATCAATCTATGTCGATGACGACATCCGATGATCAATATATGTTTATCTATAGTTGCACATATTAGAGGGTTCACCCAAAACACAAAAATTTAAACTTTCCATCTTTTTTTTTTAAGTTAATTAAACTCCCTGGCCGAGAAGGCCACTACCATGGAGAAGGCTACTTTAATTGTGGTTACAACCCTCTCTTAATTCTCTAACTCCAAAACATAAACCTTGACAAACAAGGCCACTGCGCAGAAAAAAAAGTTGATTTTATATCAATTTATGTATCAAATAAAGAAAAAACACTGACTGCATAAAACACTTCCTGCACCAGTATTATTAAATTTTTATATATTAAATTTTAGTTGGGACTGTTGTTTAAAACTTTTTGAAATCACATTAATTTGAAGCTTAACCAAAAAACTCCAAACAGCGCTGTTGCATTATAAATGCATGAGTAAATCACAAGGGTTATGTGTATATATACCAACTAACAATTTAAACGTGTGGCAATTATTATCTGTGCGATGAATGATTTGTTAAATAGTAAATAAAGAAGAAAAAAGTTTTCATGCCATTTTAAAAAAAATTCCTTTGTTGTTTCTTCACAAAAAGCTGTAGCACACGCATATAAAAACTTTATTCATAAACTTGAATAAATTGTTATTTAAAAACCATACCTCACTCACCTCACTTTCTTTGTAATTTTTCCAAAAGTCTTTAATAAGAGATGGACAATCCATTAAAAAATCTTCTGGTTCCCAACTTCGGGACCATTCAACTTGGTAATACCTCATACCATTCTAGAAATTAAAAATTGGAATAAGCAAAATTATAATATAAAGCAACATGGAGCAGACCCATATTTTATTAGTAGATTTTTTTATTATTTTGAAATTGGACCATAAGCATTGCTTAAGTGCCACAAAAGTCATATTTTAAACTTTTGAACCCATTTTCAGTCCATTTTTGGCATGTTTGAGCAACTTTTAAAACTAAAAAAAAAAAAAAAAAATTCTTTTTAGACTTTCTTCCTAGTTAGAGGAACTAAATAAAAATTCATGGTAATTTTATTTGTGGGAAATATTGTATGCAAACCTACAAAATTTTTTTTTTTTTTTTCAATTATTGTGCATTATGGTAACTTATTAGATATTATTTCATTTTTTTTGAAAAATGCACCACATATATGTCGCATAAAACATCAAAATCAAAAACAACAAACTTTTTATTAAATTATTTAATAAATTAAAAAAAAAATTTTGTTATATTTATTCATAGTTTTTTTTTTCCTTAGTGATCTTACTTTTTCCTCCATACTTGCTTTTACATGTGTTCAAGAATAAAAGCAAAACATCATTTCTAGTATCATTTAAAATTTCGCGGTGACATTATTTCTGTTGCATCATTGTTGAACTTATAAGCTCAAGTCTTTTTTTAATTCTCTTTATTATTTTAGGTGCCTAAATACTACATCCTAGAATATAATGGTCTTATTAAAAAGTACTACCGAAAAGCATTTAACAAGAAGTTCACATTTATTTCCTTACTGATGTCTCTTGCTTCTGACACAAACACGCTACCACTGCACCATGCCTGCAGTTCTTTCAGAGTAATGGTTAACAACAGCAAGATGAAATTATTGGTAGAAATCTTTGCAATTGCAATATTTGACAGCAGGGGAAGAGTTCATCTATTGACAGCTACTTTTACTTTGAGTTATCATAAAGAACATAAGTCACAAATAAAAAAAAGGAACAAGAAAATTTTCTGTGACTAATTGAACTAAGTTTGGTGGTTTTGATCCACTGAAATCTAAAGAATTGAGGACTTCTATGTTTGCTCTCATTTAGGTTGATGGATACTCGTCCATAGTTTCTAAGCAATTTCATTTCTTTTTTAACAATTTTAATCAGCTAGAGCTTAGTAAGTGACCGGGGTTGATATTTGACTGGGACCGGGTTTGATAAAATATAGCCAGGGCCGGGTTTGTGATCAGGGCCACATAAACAATTATACATCCAGTACATATTTTTTATTTAAAATGCATGTTATATTTTGTATATATATGTGCATATATGAACATCATTATGATTATCATAACAAGGTGTGTCAATTTTAGACTTTTTTTGAAAAAAAAGTTTATTAAAATTTGGGGTATAAGTAAAAGTTGCAAAATTTTATGGAGAATCTAAACCTGTTAAAATTTTTTAAATCAGAAAAATATTTACTTTGGTGATTAGCCTTCTTATGAAAGTATTAACAGATTTTATTTCCTTTTAAAGGGAATAACAATGTTACCCGAAAATACTGTACGTAAAAAAAAACAGATTTTAAACAACAAAACAATGTTCATTAAGTTTATAAAAAAATTATTTTACTTAATATGTATAAAATAATTGAAAATTTTTTGCGTAAAATAACTTTTTATTAAAAAAAAAAGTTTACTCAAAGATAATTTTTTTATCTTAATAATGGTCAGTAAATTAATTTTTTAATAATGGTCAGTAAATTAATTTCTCATTGCCATCATTAAGTAAACAACTGCATATTGTTAAATATAAATTTAAGAGCTTTTAATCAATTGCTTTCATTCCAAAATATTAAAACAATTTTTTTTTTCATTACTAAACAATAATAAATTCTCTTTAAATATTTTATAACTTGGAGGAGATTTCTAGTAAATTTACTAGAAGTTTAACATTCAGAAATTATTTTAGCATGTCGGACTTAAATTAAGAAGAATGTAAATTTTTGGGATGAAGAATTAAAGAATAATTATGATAACCCAATTAATGATGAATGAGTAATAACATTAAATTTAAACTCAAATGACATATCAGAATTAACTCAATTGCCTGAAATATAAGAATTTGCAACAATAATTGCTGGTTATACAGCAAAGATATTAGTAAAAGGAAGTAAATGTAGCAATTGCAAGTCTATGCTTGCTACAGATGCAAGCAATATTCGTCCATAACTACAATTATTTACATGAGGTGGTCTTACTGTGCCTTCACTTTCACTTAAGGATTTCACATGTGGATGTTTTGCAGTCTTAGATAATCTTTCAAATTTAATAACTAAACAAGGTGCTTATGTCAAAATTGTATCAAGCTTTGTTTTATCAAAATACTTTCCAACAGTTTGCTTTACTTGGGACTTACACAAAGAATGGGGGTTTAAATTTGCTTCTAAAATTATAATTAATTTCTTTTTTAACAATAAGCAGAAGATAATTAATCAGTGCCACTGTATGAAAAGATGCTGTTAAAAGTTTCAAAACACACTCCCCTAAAACGATTTACGGTAGCAATTTACGGCTCACGCAAAAGTATAATTTTTCTTATGAAAGTATAATTATTGTTGTAACTAAAATAAAAAATACAACATCATTAAAAAAAAATTAATTGCATAAAATACTGCAATGCTTTTTAAAAAGCACGGTTGTTGCAAAAAAAAAAAATTAAAATTAAAAAAGAGCGTCGATTTAATATATATATATATATATATATATATATATATATATATATATATATATATATATATATATATATATATATATATATATATATATATATATATATATATATATATATATATATATATATATATATATATATGTATATATATATATATATATATATATATATATATATATATATATATATATATTCAATTCAAGCATGACTTGATTGAAGGCATTCTAAAAAAATTAATTTTTAATTTGAAAGAAAAGTTGTTAATTTGATTATATTTTATAAAATATGATCAAATTTTATAGCTTAAAATTTATGAATATGTATTACAAAAAAAAAAAGAAAAGAAATACTTACTATAACTTTAGTGTCCGTTATTTTTTCTACAGCAAACTTCTCCATTTTTGCAACCATTTTTATTATATAGTTATTTTCATTAAATTATTATTTTTTCACACTATAAGTATTACAATTACACATGAATAGTTTCACTAACAAAAACTTGAAAAAAAAAAGTATATTTTTTTGCAATGGTTAATATATATATATATATATATATATATATATATACATATGTATATGTATAAATATATATATATATACATATATATATATATATATATATATATATATATATATATATATATATATATATATATATATATATATATATATATATATATATATATATATATATATATTGGTGCCCCATGCCAAAAAAAACAGTTGATGTAACAGCAGGCTATAAAATAGTCAATGTGTTTACTAAAGCCCCCAGTAGCAGGCACATTTCAGTGTGATGTAAGAGTGCTTATCTAAAAATGCATTCATAGTATTTATATATAATAAATAAAATATTATTAAATTAAATGATATTTTTTTGGATTGCAATCAAAATTTATCTTCATCAGTAATTAAAAGATGTCCTGCTTTTACTAAGAAGAACACAGCAAAAAAAAAAATTATTTTCACAGGTTTGGCATGAATTCTCATACATAAAAGCAGCCCATCTGGTAACCCTAGCTTTATGAAGTATTTTTTTCAATTGAGCAGCAAAATATTAAATGAATATCTTTATATATAATTTCAGATTAATTTGAGTATTGAATAACCTTTACAAATAACTCATTTAACAAGTCATTTAAAAAACAATACAAAACTAATTATTTATTTCAAGCATGTAACAAAGTTAAGCAAATAAATCTTCGGATAACCTTTCATCATAAAGCCATGATGCAATTTTTAGCTAATCAGTTTTGTTAGTAAAGATTTATGTCTGGCTTCAATTATATATACAGTATTAGATGCAATTTGAAACTAATTTTACACACCTCCTAACACTTTGGGAATAAGAGAGTAGGTTTTGAATATTTGGCTTTATTTTACTTTCAATAAAAGTGTTTCAATAAAAACTATCTTCATCAGAAAACACTATTGTAGTCAATGGCTCTATTTCCAAATAAGTAAGAGCAAGTCAGTCAAAGATATCCAGTTCGCAGCACTCTAATTTACTTGAGGGATCTTTTTTCTCTTCCGCAACTACTTTTATTTCTGAAAATAAAAATTTACAAAAAAATTTATTGTAATACTAATAAAAATTTATTGCATAACAAGCAGTACAATCCTATAATGATAATATATAAAATGTTTTTTTGTTTTTTTTGTTTTTAAATCTTTAAACTCAATAAGCTTTTATTTTAATGAAGATTGCAACCTTCTGCAACTAACTGCAACCTAATGTGTGAAGTTTCCTTACTGTCATCTTTTATAGATTAAATACCAATCCACTCCTTCAACCATTTTTTGATGCCATATTATCTAAAAGAATAGACAAATGCTCTTCAAACTATCATATTTTTCAAGTACGCTAAACAACAACTGCTATTGTACTGCGTGCCATTTTCATGTATAAAATTGAGGTGATGTTCTGCAGTAACACATTTTGTTATGATATTTTTGCCTACAGACATGTTTGTGCAAGACTATATCTTTGTATTTATATCAATCTTTCCATCTATACCAATGGAAAATAAGTGTGACTTCTCTTCTGAATTTGCATTAGCTGAAAATACTTTTACTTTTGACTCAACTCTGTCTAATTTACACTTATTGTTACTCCTGGTAACAATAGATATTTGATACCATGAAGCAAAGCATTTCCAAGAACTACACCAAGACTTGAAGAACATTCACCTCTGACCAGCTCCATAGTATATCTAGGAAACTTTAATATAACCTACTTAACTATATTAACATTCTTATGCTTGGTTGCCATAATGGTCTTTAAATTAAAAAGAACATATTAAAGAAAAGTTATTTCATTTAAAACATGGTTGCCATTCATCATAGTCCTTAAATTAAAAAGAACATATTAAAGAAAAGTTATTTCATTTAAAACATGGTTGTTATTCATCATGGTCCTTAAATTAAAAAGAACATATTAAAGAAAAGTTATTTCATTTAAAACATGGTTACCATTTATCATGGTCCTTAAATTAAAAAGAACATATTAAAAAAAAGTTTAAAATGAGTTAGAAATTAATTAAAATTAAAATTCAAAAATTATATATATATATATATATATATATATATATATATATATATATATATATATATATATATACATATACATATATGTATATATATATCTTTTTGAATTTTAAATAAAAATACCTAATATTTTGTTGTTTCATCTGTGGGATCTGTTAAAGAGCTGTCTAGCTGTGATGAAAAATATTTTCACTGATCAATTTAACGTTGTTATTGTGTTTTGAAGTATCTTGATTGATGAAGTGTTTTGATGTATCTTATGTATCTTATGATTATCAACAAGCAGATAAGTCAAATAAATTATCAAGTTTAGAATTGATGTATTGTTTAATATTTGCCTTTATTTGTTTATGATTTATGTTTTTAACGGTTGAAAATAACTTTTAAACTTATGTTTCAATAGATTTATTATTTATTAAAGGCAATCTTGGATTGACTAAAGACATATGAGACATGCTTAATAAATGCCCAAAAGTTTGGACTAAAGACCAACCTTCATAATTCTCTTCACTTTGGTTCACATAAAACGTCTTTTTTTTTTGGTCTTTTTTTTTACTTTCTAAATGGTATTTTTGTATTTTTGGTATTTTTTACGTTCTAAATCCAAAAATTTAGTTCATACTAATATAACTTGACACATTTGCAGTAAATTTACAACACTTTTATAAAATATTAAACTGTTTAAACTTTGCACCAAATAATAACTTACTTGTTGATTATCTTTGCACCACCAGAAAACCGATTTTTTAGTTTAATTTAATTTAACTACATAATAACAATTTGAAAAAGTTAAACTTAAACAAAACCAGTTAAGCTTGTAAATTCAGTTATATAGATTCGACAGATTTAAAAAGTATATTCTAAATACAATAGAAGTAAAAAAAGTTTATTAGGTACTTTTTAATTAAGCTTGTTGGTGTTTTAAATTTTTGAGTAGATAAAAGTAATTACAGTTAAAGTTTGAAATGAAAAACTCTTAACAATATAAAATACATTATAATCATGTAAAAAATATAATATACATAAGTGCTTTAAAAAACAAAGAAAGATGTGATACAGCAAATAGTAGCTTATATATATACGCATCCACAAACTCCGATCAGGTTCCGCAAATAAATATTAAATCTAAACACTTATGTTATGTATATATATATATATATATATATATATATATATATATTATATATATATATATATATATATATATATATATATATATATATATATATATATATATATATATATATCAACCTTTGGAATTAGGATTGGCAATCTTAAAGGTTTGAGGTCAGCCAAAAGTTGTAGACCTTGTTTCATGTTTTATGGTAAAACCTTTGTGTTAAACTTTTTTTGCCAACCTGATATATATATATATATATATATATATATATATATATATATATATATATATATATATATATATATATATATATATATATATATATATATATATATATATATATATATATATATATATATATATATATTGCATATTTAGATAAGCAGTGTGATTACACATGTACATTACAGTGTACATTACAATCCTAACTGCAAAAAATTCTTTGTTAAATTGATTAAATGTGTTCTATCACTTTTATTTTGTTATTTATATTTGATTTTACTTTATTGTATTAATGCAATTAATAAAAAATATTCTAGCATTTAATGATGGAAGCACAGCAGTTGAAAAAGTTAAAAATTAAATCTTTCAAAAATATAGTATGTAACTATGAAATATGTCAAGAATGAAGGATGTTGAGATTTTCTTAAATAAATTTACACAAAGGTATATATAAACCCACTTTTTAAAAAAAATTTATACAGACAGGATAACAATTACTCAACTAATTTATTTCTAATTCTATAGATTCGACTTATAACAATCAGAAATGCAAGTACTCAGTATCAGTCATCAGTAATCTTAGTAATATGGTAAATCATTTGTTAAAATCACTTAAATAATCTTTTAGGTTAAAAGAAACAGAATAACAAGCTATCAATTAAACTTTCTACTATCTGAAAAGGAAACAACTAGTCAGGCTTCTGCTTTCAGACACGTAAACTGTTTAAGAGTATGTGATTTTGTTTGCTTAACTAATAACAATTAATCTATCCAAAAGAAAGGATGACTTATTTAAAAACAATTTTTTTTACTTGCAACGAATTCAAAAAATAGATAACTTTTTTTTAAAAACTAAGTATTCTACTCTAATAAACTTTTCAAAATTATTTCTTTTATTTTCCTGTTGCATATGTATTCATCATCAAAAACTACCATAAAATTATAGATAATAATTAAATGGTAGATAAACCGCCAAATTATAAACAAAATATCAAAAATTTAAATAAATAAATACATATATATGCGTATACATATATATCTGTACATATATATATATATATATATATATATATATATATATATATATATATATATATATATATATATATATATATATATATATATATATATATATATATACAGATATATATATATATATATATATATATATATATATATATATATATATATATATATAATATATATATATATATATATATATATATATATATATATATATCTGTATATATATATATATATATATATATATATATATATATATCTGTATATATATATATATATATATATATATATATATATATATATATATATATATATATATATATATATATATATATATATATATATATATATATTATATATATATATATATATATATATAATTTTTTTACATTAATATCTAAGAATTTTAAAAAAATTTATATAAAAAATTGAATTGAGAGAAGTAATATTTATTGATGCTTATAAATGAATTCAACTCTCATAAAAGATAACGTCATTTAACATTGTTTACAGTCATTTAGATGTATTTACTTAATTGCATAAATGGTAAAAAAAATTACCCATTTGTTCTATCAATTTTTTCTTTAAAACATAAACATATAAAACAACTAAAAAACTGCGTCGTAAATGTTTAGAAAATTAAATAATTAGCACAACATTAACTTGCTTTAAAAAAAATGTAAATCAGAAAATAAAAACAAAGTAAAATCATGAAATATTCGGACTTATTTGTACATATCAATAAATAATTGCGGGTTTTAAAAATATGGGGCACTTCGCCTTTTTTTTTTAACTCAATTTTTTTTTTTTTTTTTTTTTTTTTTTTTTTTTTTGCGCTTTTCCTAAAACATAGAGTTATGTTTTTGAGCATAATTTCTTGTCAAACAGCACCCTTTTAAGTGAGATTAGCAGCATGTTTCTATTACTAAATACTTTTATGATACGCACTAATGAGCAGGGAAAAGACAAAGTTCTAAGAAGAAATAAATAAACCACGTTTGATACAAAATTTATAGAGCATAAATAATGCTCATAAAATCTAGTGGAGCTCCTGGGCATTGTAATATTGAAAATTAAAATAATCAAATAAATTGCTAATTAACGTTTCTTGCAGAAGACTATCAAAAAGAGTAGTCTAACTAACAAATTAAAAAAAAAAAAAAAAGGTAGCAAGTTGTTAAGTAACAACTCAGCAAACAAGTTCACCTATCGGTTTATTGTTCTGAGCTTATGATCTTTCGATCTTTGATTACCAAAATAATCTTTAACCTTTTTAAGAAGTTTTATTTTTAGCTGTAATGTATAGAACAAAAGACTTTATTGTAAACACTGCTTTAAAATAATTATAAATAATTGATAAAGTTAGTTTATAAGATATTTTATAGCATTTTCACGGCTTTTTATACTTTTTGATCTTCATACTAACATAGGATAAAAATAAATATTTTTTCTTTTAAACTTTTTTGTCATTGACTGTCAATTTAATTGTGTAAAATAAATGGTAAATCAAAATTGTTTCGATCTTTCAAATTTTTAATTAATTAAGAAACTGTTATAAAATTCACAAAAAATTATGACAAAACAAGCTAAACTATTCACGCGTGCAATAATATGTTCTGTATGGCAGTCCAAATATAGCTTATTTTTGTAAAGTTGGTTTTGTTTTGCAAGTGAGCGTGAGCTCACTTATGCAAGCTGCTCGATGAGCAGCTTGCATAAGTTCACACTTGCTAAGAAATACATAATAATAAAAGAATTAAAAAAATACAATTTATTTACAAAAATGATATTTAACGAACAATTATTTTGCTCGTTATTTAATTCTTAATAAATTAAAAGTATTTTTGAAGTTTAAAATAGAACTCTTATTGAATTATAAGTAAATATAAAATGTAAGTATATATGTTATATAGATATAAAATGTAAATATGTATGTTATATTTACATTTTATATTTACTTATAATTCAATAAGAGCTCTATTTTAAACTTATTTTTTATCGACTATAACTGAGTTTAACTTATGTGAAAGTTTGACAGCTTTAACCGGTGCCATTGCATTAGCCGGTGTTTTGGTTAAATTTGTTTGTGTTAGTTTTAATGCTAAATTGCTAAAAGAAAAATTTGCATGTTGTTGTCTTATTTTAATTTTATATTATTTTAACAAAGTTGTATTAAAATTTGCCTGAGTATTTGATGAACTAAGAATTTAACTGAAAATTTGTTGTTTTTTTTGCCAAATAAGTGTACATTGTCAAACACATGTATACCGTATTTACCGAATGCTTTATCTAGGGCTGCCGAAAATCGTAAAAATGTCTACCTGGGTGCCCCTCTAACGAACGGGTACTAATTTTAAGAAAAAACATATTTATAGAACTTAATACTTGTAAACACATATTCAATCAGTTGTCTCCAAATCTCTACAAATTTTTGGTATGCTAAAAAAGACATTCACCATCATTAATGAAAAAATGACTTTCAAATTATATAAAGTGTTTTTAAGACCACATTTTGAACATGCAGTGTCTGTTTGGGCCCTGTATTTAAAAAGTGACGTAGCTTTGGTTGAATCAGTTCAACGTAAAGCAACAAAATTGGTTTCAAGCTTAAGACATTTTCAATAATACGAAAAACTAAAAAGACTAAATCTACCATCACTTGAGTTTCGGCGCCTACGATGCGATCTTATACGAATCTTTAAACTAATGCATCAATTTGATATAATTAATGATATATATCAACCAAAATTTATCAACTCCTTGTCACGTGGTCACCATCTTGAAATAAAGCGTGAATATTTTCCAAACTTTTTTCTAAGACACAATCAACTATGTAATAGATCAGCAAAATACTGGAACGAACTACACATTCTAATCAGACTAGATCGCTGGTTGGGGATAAAATTCGGAACGAATATTTATATATATATATATATATATATATATATATATATATATATATATATATATATATATATATATTATATATATATATATATATATATATATATATATATATATATATATATATATATATATATATATATATATATATATATATATATATATACAGTAGCTTTCATAAATTTAGACGCATTCATTTTTTTTTTTCATTAGTGTAAGAAAATACTCAAAATGAAAATAAAATAAAAGTGCTACCGCTATGTTTGATATATAATTTAAAAGAGGAAGTAAAACTCTATTATAGAGTACCTTAATTTTTTTTACAGGATGTTTATTACTTATTCTATACCGATTAACACAAAAAAGTTAATTGATAAACTTGATTTTATTTTGTTCATAAATTTAGACGCACAATCAAAAAAGTCTTATATCTTGTTAATTGATAGTTAATTAGTAGTTTTTTCCCATATTTATCATTAATAGGCCTAAATTAATTGATTTTGTCAAAAAACCTTATATAAATATGACTTACTTGGAATTAGTTAATCATTATTTAATAAATAAACAAAAGTTAAGTTAGTTTTGCACTAAAAAGACGTGAAAAATGGGCAAAAGACATATCACTCAAGGTGAAAGATGGAAAATTATTGCGCACATCAAAGAAGGAACCAAAAGTAATAGAGAAATTGCCAAGTTAATTGGATTTTCTGAGAAATGCGTTCGGACAACAAAACAAAACTTTCTTCACACTGGTGGTGCCAGCAAGAAAACGAGGCCAGGTAGACCCTTGTCAACCACTAAAAAGGACGACAGTGTTCGTTTTAGAGCTGTCAGAGCTAATCCAAGAATTAGTTACAAAGAATTGAACACAGAATTCAATACAACGCGAAATACATCTATTTCTCAAAGCATAGTCCGCCGAATACTTATCAAATACAAGATTGAAGTCTACACTGCTTTGAAGAAACCGCTTCTGCGTCCATATGATAAACAAAGAAGACTAAAATGGTGTCGTGAAAGAAGGTATTGGACAATAGAACAATGGGAAAACATTATGTGAAGTGATGAGAGTAACTTTGAGCTATCAATCGCAAATCTAACATAAAAGTCAAAAGAATGGCTCACGAAAAGTATTACGCCAGGTACATTAGACCAACTGTACAAAGTGGAGGAGGCTCAATAGGAATCTGGTTATGCTTCAATTACAAAGGTGTTGGTATGTGCCAAACATACACCGGAAGAATCAACTCCAGAATATACGTAGAAGTACTGGAAAACAACCTAATTCCATCAATTGACCTGCTTATGCTCAATGATAAACCATGGAAACTTCAACAAAATGGCGCTACTGCACATACTGTATACTATACAAAGGAGTGGTTCAACAATAGTAATATCATGGCAATACCGTGGCCTCCATACTCACCTGATTTGAACCCGATTGAAAACGTTTGGTCTTAGATTGACCGTGAATTAGCAAAGGTTCAAATTTCCACACTTGGTCAGCTGAAGGAATTCCTTAAGGAGACCTGGTATGAGGTACTAGAAGCGATGTGCGAAAATCTTGTTGAGTCTATGCCTAGAAGAATTCTTAGTTGTATTAAAGCAAAAAGCGGATACACAAAATATTGATTGGTTCATAAATTACGCCTTCTAATGTATCGTGCGTCTAAATTTATGAATAATTTTTTTTGTCTAATTCTTTTAATACCATGTAGTTGTACCTAATTATTATTTAGTATTTCATTTTGTTTTTGTAAACTTTTTTTAAATTTTGTATTCTGTATGTATTTATCTAATAAATAGAAAAAAAACTAAACCGAAATCTTTTTTCGTCATTGTTTGATCGTTAAAAAACTAAAAATTTCTATTCTCAAATATGAGTGCGTCTAAATTTATGAAAACCACTGTATATATATATATATATATTATATATATATATATATATATATATATATATATATATATATATATATATATATATATATATATATATATATATATATATATATATATATATATATATATATATATATATATATATATATATATATATATATATATATTAATTTAAAATAAAAAATGACGATTGTATTATTTCGAATGTTTTAATAATAATATTTTATTTTTACATAATTATACCTATAAAAATGCAACAATTCAAATGATTTGTTTATGTTTTTGGTTTTTAAAAACGTTTCTATACTGTGTTATTGCTGTTTAACTTATTAAATATGATTAACAAATGGAGGACGAAGAACGAAAAAGAAAAGAAAGCTTATTATTGACTTTACTAAATTCATTGTTTGATCGTAAAAAAAAGTATTTTTGTTTATTTGATTTAGATAATATTACATATATATACGTAAAAATATAAATCTACATATTTTTACATCTCTTACTCATTAAAAATACGATTTGGTGCATTTTGGATATGTTCTTTAAGTAGTTTTTAAAAGTGTCTTCTAGCAATTACTTAATTATTTTTCAGATTGTAAAAACCAGTTCGTGTGACGCTTTCGAAAAACTAATGGTATGTTTAATGCAAAGGTACTATCATGACCCAGAGGCAATAGATTGTTACCAAAAGTTACCACGCGAAGAACTAGATGAAAAAGGTGTTTATCACTCAGAATATTACAAAAAGTTTACCCAGTATATTTATTGCAAGCAATCCTGAAAACAAACCCATAGAAGACATAACTGTATCAGAAGATTTAAGTCAAATGTCAAAAGGAAAAGAAAAATTGCTCCGTTCAAAATATCAAGTCTACAACAAAGAACTTTTTATAATTTGCCAATGTGAAGGCGGTGAACTTCGAAACGTTGAGTTTACAGCGACTGGAAAAAAAAATGTTAAAAGTTTCCAAGTTGCTTAATGATCAAAAATTCTTCCTTAGAATGAACACTATCCCAAATTCTGATGACGCCGTTTGCAAATGATGTTCAATACCACTTAAAGTGTTGAGTAACAGTGCAGACAACAACTCAAAAAGAAATTCAAAAATTGGATGATATTGGACGGGTTATCGCAGATGTAGAAATCATTAGTTTAGTCCATTTGATCCTAAAAGAAGATGGTTTTGCTATGGATATGAACAACATCAATAAAACCTACAATAACTTAGTTGGGAATAATAACCAGACTGGGAATAATAACCAGACTCACTGAGGTGAATTATAAACGTTAATTAAAGAAACTTCTACAGATTAACGTGCCAGGAATAATTTTTTTAAGACCTCTTTACTGTATCTTGCTGCAATGAATGAACTAAAAAAAATAGACATTACTCCCTGACAATATCTTTAAAAAAAATTTACTATCAACAGGCATTCCTTTCTGTAATATTGGTTCTAATCATGCCTTTGAACAGGAAAAAAAGGTTTTGAAGGTAGCAGGAGGGGTGATTAGTATTACACACAATCCAACGTGCTTAACCCGTTTTTACCTTATTGCTTTTGCTTTAAACTCTATATCAAAAATGTTTTTGCGAAAAAAATAATATTTGATCATAATTTCGCAAACAACAGCAGTGGCGCAGTGGCGCAGTGGCGCACTTTTCAAAAACATTAGAAATTTCGAGACAAGAACAACTATCATTATTGATGGCACGGCCTTGGTCAATAAAATTTATAAAGATAACAGTATTAAAACTTGGAAGGTAATAGTTATGTTATTTATTGTCTGTGGTAATATTTTCATTCCTTCACATCACGTGTATTACTCACTGTAATAACTGTGTATGTATAATTGATAAGTTAACTGACATTGCCTTCTAATATTTAAAACGAATAGTAACATTGTAATATGTACCTTGATCATGCCTATACGCACAATACATATATACCTTACATATATATATCTTATGCAACATAAACACTCATACTTGTTTAATTATTCAGGGTTTTGCTTCAATACTTATTAGCATACTTAGAAAAAGATAAGATTGCAAAAGAAAATCGATAAAAAAAATATATTGTGCATTCACAAGATACTGACTTTTTTCTACTTTTAGTTCATTTTTATCAAGTCCTGTCACATGTCCTAATTTTCCAAACTGCTAGAGGGGATAAGGAACGAGATATCTCAAGTCAAAAATGTTACAAAGCAACTGGTTCTAAATAAGCACAAGGTATTTTAGGCATTTTAGTTTATATTTTGTTGTTTCTCATTTCTAATCAAAGTAAGGCTCTTTGTGAAATTTTACATTCCTTTAGGTTTTCACGTTTTTACTGCCCGTGATCAAATTGGACACTTTTCTGGAATCACTAAAAAATCATGGTGAAAAGAATTTATAAAAGCTGATGATGTAACCCTAGCTGCACTATCAAATCTTGGTCAATCGAAAGCTTTACCTGATCTGTTTACATTAATAACATTGAATGTTTTGTTGTTAGAGTCTACGGTGATAAAAAACGGACAGAAAATGTTAATACTTTCACAACTTTGTTGGTTCCTTTTCTCTAAATTTCAATTTTTCTTTTAAATTTCAGACGCTGCACAACTTCCACCAACAGTGAATGTCCTTAAGTACCATATATTCCGTAGTAACTTTCTATGTTTAGTGTTTAAACGCTCTAACATGCCCGTACAGTATTTACCATTGCCTGTGGAGTATGGTTGGGAACTAAACAATGGATCTTTTGACCCCATAATTACTGATAACCTGCCAGCACCAATAGCACTAATCGAGTTGAGCGTTGTAAAGGAGTAATGTTTAAAATATTGTGCAAATGTTTGAAAAATAAACTTTTCTGTACTGATATGTGCAAGTTTAAAGGATGTAAAAATGATAATGTAGACGACCAAGAGGAAAACTATGACTATGAATGTAGAGATTTATAAGACGCAACTAATTTATTTGTGTTATTAAATGTCCTATATCTTATGAAGTAAAAATTTTCAACATATGCTTTTTTTATGATTTTGAAAATTTTGCTTATTTAATGCTCTTTCTAATGGTATAAAATATTTTTTTAAATAACGATTAAATTTTGAATTGTATGAAAAGAATTTGAAAAGTGACACCTGTCACTTTTCAAATTCTTTTCATACAAGGATCTCATATCAACAAAAAGTTTGCTTGTGAACACAAAAAGTTTTATATAAGCAAAAATTATATTATTTTAAACAAAAGAAAATTTTATACATTTGTTAAAAGCGGTATTATTTTAATATTAAGCTTTAAGCAAAAATTTAAAACATTTTTGTACATTTGAAAAACTTATAACTTAAGTTTAGAATATATTTTAATTATTTTGCGGCTTGCTTTATAAGCAGGAGATCTAGGTTCGAAACGAGCTCTGGACATTTTCGCGTCACGGTAAGGTGCTCTGTGATAAGACCGTTAAGTCTTCTAAGGGCACCTAAATAAATCAAAAAAATTCCTTTTTGTATGCAAAATGCCAAAAACTAGTTCTGTTATTTGGGATTTTGAAAAAAAAAAAAACTAATAAAGATGGCGAAGTACATCACCATCTTTATTATTAGTTGCCCATGCAACTTGAAAAAAGTCTACAAACTTACTGAGGGTTCAACATCAAGTATAAGATACTCAGCGTTGGACTAGTCCACCGGGGCACCGGGAAATTTCCCGGTAGGCCGGGCATCTTTTGTGGCTGTGACCACTGGCTTCCGCCAGTTACTGTACTTAGTAAAAAAAAAATTTTTTTTTTTTTTCATGCGGATATGTTCTAGGCTCTCACGATGCTATTTGTGTATTTTTAAATTTAAGCATATCGTTATCCGGTTTCCTGTTATATAATATATTACTATAATTATTACAATACATATTTTAGTTCACTAAGGCATACATTTAGTTACAATTTTTGAAGTTTTGAAGATGTTTTAATAGCTGCTAAAAGTTTTGTTTTTTGGGCTAGTGATTTGATTAAAATTGAAAATGATATTGATATTGTTATTCAAGATTCTCTTCCAAATGCACGTGTACGTAAAGGGAAAACAATGGATGGTGAAAATAATAATAATGCAAAAATTACAGCTATTGACTTGAAAAAAACTTTGTGTTCATAACACAGCTATGGATACAGTTATTTCAAAATTTGAGCAACATTTTGCTAAACATTTAGAAGCATGCTCAGATTTTTCTTGATTAGATCCTCGTCAATTTTAAAAAAATTTACCAAAAAATGCTCTTTTTAAAATTAGTAAAGTACTTGGGTTTGAAAATTCTACGGTTTTAAGAGATGAATTTGAAGATTTTACTTAAAAATGGGATAAACTTAAATTAAATTTACCTGAAGTTTCTAAAAGTTATAACACAAATGAAGACACTGAACTACCAAAGTTACATTTGGAAGAAAATAAAATTGAACAAGAAACTGCAAAAAAAAAAAGCTCGCTGTTTTAACTGTTTTCTTTGTTGTTTCAATGTTTTGTTTCAGTACAGACTATTTTTTGAATCGTACAGTCATTCATTTTTGGCCTATAAATATATTTTGACTTTATCTTGCACCCAAAAAAAAGCTTTTCTACCTTAAATAGTTACTTAAAAATTGTCTACGGAATCGTTTATCACTTGACAATTTAGATGCTTTGATCTTCAATTTTAAATTCATTAAGCTTAATGATTTTAAATAAAGACATTTTAGAAGAATTAACACACAACAACATTATTAATAATGTAATTTAGATTATTATACTTCATTTGTAATTAAAAATAATAGTTTCTTTATTTCTATTATTTAATTACTGTGTTACAGGGTTTCAGCTCTTCATTAAAAACCTTAAATAATTAAAACCTCCTTTAAACTTATCAACCTCAAGAAGATTGAAAATGGTTATCTCCTTGAGTAATGAGTTACTCTTGCATTTTTAATACATTTTTTGCCGTTTTTAACCAAATCTCCTTGAAAATTAAGAAAGTTTAACAAAGTCTAAAAACTTGTGAAAAGACATTTATTAGTCCCTTTATTGAAGAAACCTTGGGCTGTTTCATTTGGGTGCGAGATCGTCTGTCGATACAACCCCCCGTTAATTGAATTATATAAAAAACCATCCTTTTATTATAAATATTAAAAGACATTTAAAAAAACAAGAAGTGTAAATAGGCTATTACAATTTAATGAGGCCGGTCACTAAAGATTTTCCCGTTCCATGTTTTAAAGCTAGTCCAACCTTGAAGATATTACTTCATTCGTCTTTGAATAAATTATTAGTGAATAATATAGAAGAAAAGTGAAATTATTATTTTTTTTTTTATATGTGCATGTATATCTGTGTTTTAATATTATTTTGTTTGCTTTAAAAAATATAAGGGAAGTTCGTGTACCTAGGGCCGGATTTTTTCAATGATCAAATTCAAGGCCCCAGACTTGTTTAAAAATGATGAAACTGATATGATCACACCTGTATACTAATTAATTAATTAATTACGTTGTATTAACATAGGTTTAATGGCTTAAATTATAAAAGTCCGTTATTTAGAAGGGTTTAAAAATTAGTAGTCCTAGGAACAATAAGCTTTTTTTAAATTGCATCTAGGGCCGTTAGCCATTCTAATAGGGCCGTTCTCTAAAAACTAGTGAGAACAAAGATAGACGCATAAATTTAATTAAGAATTAACCTGATCTTTTTTCAACAAATTTACCAAGTGTTACTTGATTACAACACTTAAAAAAATTACAAAATTGACTAATAGTTCTTAACAAAAGTTACAAAAAAAGTGACAAATAATTCTACGCGTAAAATTATGATCTCAAAACAACCGCGAAATAAAAAAAAATTTTGCACCAAGAACTCAACAATTTACCTCGTTATCAAACAAATTCTTTGCGTACATACGGCCCGAGATACAAGTAAACTATTTAGCCCTGGGTATAAGACTTGATAACCTTATTAAAAATCTTATCTATTAACAAACCCAAATTGAGAAAAAAATTATTTAACATCGCATTTTTTACTATTATTTAGGTGAAAAAAATCAAACACTTTTAAACCCTCATCTTGTTTATTAATTTCGTCCGAAACTAATAAACAAGAGTGAAGTTGAAGGAGTTCTGCTCTATCTAAAGGAAAGCACAACGCATAGAGTAATAGGTGGGTTTATAAATCATAAAATCAAATAACTCTTGGGTAGCATTATCAAATGAGAGTTACCCGGTTTTGGTAATGCTATCAGAGAAGTAACCAATGGGCGGTTGCCCGGGTACACGAATACCCATCAACTGCCTAGGGTGTATACATTACCTATTCAATACCGAGTAGTTTAATGCCTGCATTTCAGCAGCCGTGGTGCAGTGGTTAGAGTTCTGGCTCAAGAACTCTAACCACTGAGTTCAGAACCAAGAGTTCAGAGGTTCGATGTCGGCTCTAGACAGTTAAGAGACACAGGCAAAGAAGGAGGCGTAAACTTCCTAGTTAATTCCTAAGTTAGTTCTGCGGTGCACTGTGATAAGATAGTATGAAATTTATGAAGCGCCTTAAGAACCTAAAAAAAAAATCATTGTCCTATTTTCTTAAGAGTTAAGCAATTTTAATGGAGTTAATATTTAAATTTAAAAAGAAAATATTTAAAACATCAACATGCGTTTATGCATTTTGATACATGAAGTTAAACCTGTTGCATTACCTCCCGACAGAACTTAATTATATAAAAAAAAAATAATGCACATCCTTGGTCTTTTTTATTTCTTCAGCTTAAACTACAAAAGGTTTTTTATTAAAATCTACACTAAAATCATTATTTGTGTAAATACTTTATTTGAACTTAGTATTTGGGTTGTTTATGGTGGTTAGTGTGTTTATGTAAGTCAGTATGTTTGTGGTGACTGAAGACGTGAACCTCCAGGTAAAATGCTCTTCCGCGGTGCTTAGTAACAAAACAAAAGGTAAAGAAACTGCAATAGATTAAGTCTGCCATTTTTGATCGTTTACTTTTTTTTAAAAATTTTTCGGTTCAGGCACAAGCTACACTAGTATAGCATTTATTCAGACATATGACACAAACAACTCAAACGCATAGACATAAACGATTCAAACTCAAAGACATGAAATGCAGTTAAGCATATATTTATTTAGCTCTCATTTACATGCATGCAGCACAAACCTCATCTGTAGCAGCAGTAAAGAATCCATTATGTAGAAGCAGTAAGGAATCCATATTGGTAAAAATATATCATCTAATATTTAAATTCAAATTCAGGTGCAGGTAAAGATTCGAATTTTCAAATTTTGATTCAAATGTCAACTTGAAAAAAATTTTAAAAGAAGCTTACATCTTGTAGGATATCACTGCAAAAAACACTGTAATTATATTATATGGATTTTAAACATTGATACTAATGTTAAACTATATGAAAATTAAATAGTTTTACAGTTTTTTTTAGTTTTAAAAGGGATAATTATTTATTGGAGAAAATGCATCAAACTCATTATCTCATTATGAACAGCCATTACATCAACTTGCACCTCAGTCAGTAAAGATGTTTGTTAACTGTGAAGTTGTATGTGTGAATGTGAAGTTGTATGTGTGAATGTGAATTATAACAGACTAATGAAAACTCTATGAAATCTGCGTTTTAAAAGGTTTTATTTTTAAAAACCTGGACCTGTTTATAATGTAAGAATTTAAATGCTTGCAAGGGGGGGGGGCGTAAGTAGTAATCTGCAATCAAATTATATAAATCGAAAGTAATCTACATTCGAATTTATCATTACTTGAAGTTAAACAAACTTTTTTATAAAAATCATTTTTCAAAAATGTTGTTCAACAGAGCATGCTATCATTGAACTTACTAAGACTATGTACCTTTTAAAGGCATTTGATAAAGTTGACCATAACATCTTACTATCAAAATTAAAACATTATGGTATCAAAGGACTAATGTATAATAGGTAAAAAACTGTCTGCG